TCGATTGTGAATTTTATTACGAGTTCAACGAGGTATGACATTCCATATTTGGATCACTATTTCCGTTTTTACGGCCAAAATACTAATTTTTTGGGTGAAAAATCAGGATCTTGATTTTTGGTAAAAATTTGGCATTTTTCTTATCGATTTTTTGCTGTAACTTGGACAAAAATGGTCACAAATCAAAAAGGCGTACTGTTCTGAGCAGCTGTCAGCCTAATAATAAACATCAATGCATTTTTGGGCTGATTTAAAAAAATAAATATTTGACCCAATTTTCACATTTTTGACAAGGGGTTACATCGTAATTTTTTGCAAAAAATGGCAAAAATTAAAAATTTTCAGGTTTAAATGCAGATCGATTGTAGATTTTATTACGAGTTCAACGATGTACGGCATTCTATATTTGGATCATTATTTTCTTTGTTTCAGCCAAAAAACTGATTATTTTTGGTGGAAAATCGGAATAAGAAAAAAATAAGATTTGTAGTATTTTACATCCATTCTAAACGACGATTAAATTATTTAATATTATGTCTATTTTTATTGTACTAAAACTTTATGGCTTCAACTGAAGCAACTGAAGTCGGCTGCTGTGATTGATTTTTTGCAGTGTAAGCTTGTGTGTGTGTGTTTGCGTTTGGTGGCAAAGTTTGCCGAGAGCCTTTTGGGTTGGTCAAAGTATTAGCAAAGTTATTTGCCCGCAACGGGCCAAGCGACCGCAACAGCAGCAACATCAGGCAGCAGCAACAGCGGCAAAGGCAGCAACTGCAGCCGTTGCAGCAGCAGCAACAGCAGCAACAAAAGGCAACTGCAACACACACTGCAATTAACTTTGCGGTCAACAGCCACCCACTGGCCAACTGCCTTTTGCCTTTGTATGAGTGGAAATGCCCCTGTATTGGTGTGTGGAAAGAAGAAGAAGCGCCAGTGGCTTTGGCTGCTGATGCTGCGGTTGCCTTGCCGCTGATGTTGCTGCTGCAGCTGATGTTGCTGGTGTTGCTGCTGCAGCTGATGTTGCTGCCGTCGTCTGTGATTAAAGGCCAAATGACAACAGCAACAAGCGGCTGAAAACGAGCTGCAGCTGCGAACTAAAGGAAAAAGCGAAATATAAATACTCTTTTTTAAGATTTTTGATTAGATATTCAGATAAGTTTAACGCTGCTATGAATATTTCTAATAATAATTAAATTTAAAAAGTCATCAAAGAAGTTATAGCGTTCTTAACGGAATTTATACCCATTTTGTTTTTTAACTTTAGTTATTTTATTTATTTTTTTTTTTAATTTAGTAATAACATCTTGTTGCAAAAAACCTTTATTTTTTTTAACTAATTGGCTTTAAAATTCCGCAATCCTTCGATAAAAAAGCAGGGTATCAAGTTGGCAGTCCACCAACGACAACTGGCAGTGCGTTGCATTGCATTTCATTGCATTGAAATGGGTGTCACTCTGTAACTAGCACATTCGCGATAATGATAATGCATAATAATACTGATGATGATGATGGCGATGATCATGCGGCTGATTATGATGATTATGATGAGGCAAGCGACTCCTTCAAACTGCGGCATTCTCTCGTTGGCTCGTCATCAACAGCAGCAGCAACATCAACATTGGCGTCATATTGAAACTGGAATTTGAATCCGGTTGCCGGTTGTTATGAGGACACCCCCCCCCCTGTCTCCTTTGCGAAAATTTTGTTTGTGCCATGTTTATTAAATGCCATTAAAGCCATTTCTTCAGCCTTTGGCTTTTGCTCTTTCAATGGGGTAACTGCAGGGGGTTTTTCGGGCCTCAGGCCTCGGCTCTCGGGGGACACGGAAGTGTGCGTCACACTGTGGGAGAGTTGCATTGTCAGCAGCAGCAGAAGCACAGCTCAAATGTCAAAAGGTACATCAGCAACAAGAACGACACGAGCAACACGAGCAACATCAGCAGCAGAAGCAGCAGCAACATCAGCAGCCAAGCGCAATCAGCAAATTGCATTAAATGACTTTGTATTGCAATTGTTGGCTCTCTCACTGATATATCTTTGATGTACATTGTACATGTATATATATCGGATATATGGTGGGTGAGCAAGGGAATCTCGGCTTTATCGGAGAAAGAGACAAGTTGCAAGTTGGAAAAGTGAAAGAAAAATCTGTCGAATGAATGCGGTTTGCACTCACAATCATAAGTGAAAATATTTCGATATTTATTATGTTGTCGAAAATATTAAAATTTATTTATCGAAGTTTTTATTATTATTTATTTATCGGAATAAATAATAATTTTTCTTTAATTAATAAATAATGTATTGTTTTTTTTTTCGCCTTAATAATCGATAATGGTTAACACGAAATCATAAACCATTAACTGACAACTGGCTGACAGCCGGCTAAGAGCGCTAGATAAAAATGTTTTGTTTCTTTTTTTTCACACGGATTATCTTGTGAATCGCCTGACATTTGCTTAATTCCCCCGGGCTTATGCGATTTTAGCTTCAGTTTTCAGTTTAAAGAACCCAACACAGTTAGGCTTAAAATAGCTCCAGCTTGGACATTTATCAACCACTCCCCCAGTTTCACAATTCATTTTCCTACTCATTTTTCATTTGCTTTAATAAGCAATTTGATCGCTTGTCTTGACATTTACTGTTTACACACATTTCTTCTTTCTCCTACACACAGTAAATACTCGTAGTAGTTGCCCATGAAAGTCCCCCCTGCCCGCCTCTTTTTTCCTCTTTGCAGCCTGCATCAAGGGCAGAAAATCTGAAAATCTGTGGCGCACATTAAAACGTTTCACTTAATTAAAATCAACGGCAACACAGGAACAGCAACAGCAACAGAAGCGAAAGCAACAAAAACGGACTGCAAAATGACCGCCCCCATATATAAAGTATGGTATTCCGTAGTCCCCTACGTACACTATATATACAGGCGCTAATAGTCCGATGTGAGTTCGTGTGAGAGCGTTGAAAAAATACAGCAACAAAATGTAGAGAAAAAAAATAAGAATTCAGAGCACTGCCAAAGACGTGGCTCGAGAGCTTCCAGCATTTTTTCTACTTTGTGTGACTAACGACTTGAAATTGCGCTTATTAAGACTTCCTGATTCATAATTTCTGGCAGCACTAGCAGCAACAGCAATAACAACTATAGACAAGTGGCACGTCGATGGGCTAACGAATGGGAATTACCCAGTACTACAAAGTACTTCAAAAATAATAAGAGAAACCCTGCTAACGTATCTCGATTTATACATTGTATTATGCAGTTAGAAAAAAGTAACTACAAAGGGCCATGCAAATGTTATTCAAACTTGTGTGAAATGATTATTTTTATTACCCCAAACCAGTTTAGTACAAATACCTAAAGGTGCAGTCTATAAATTTCTAGCACTTCAATTAAAAACGAAAAATGCATAAAGTACATTCGTTACTTGATTTATTTGACAATAAAATCATTTCCAGGAAACTTTAAAAAATTAAATTACATTTCAGAAACATTGTAAAAGTCAGTTGTACAAATGTTATAAACTTGTTTGAAGGGCTTAATAAATTAGTTTAAACAAAAGTTAATGAGCCTAAGCAAGTTTTGTGCATTAAGTGATTTTCTAATTAAACGCGAATTCTTGAGAATATTAATTAATTTACATATTAGCCTTACCCAAGTATTAAAGAAACATTGTAAAATTCAGATTTACAAATGTTTCTACAAAGGGCAATAAAGATATTGTAAAAATTTGATTGAAGTGTTTAATACATTATTTAAATATTTGAGTTTATGAGCCACAACAAGTTTTGTGCATTAGGCAATTAAGCAAGTTAACGTGAATTCTTTGGAAAATAAATTATTTGAATACAAGCTTGTTCCAAGGAACCTTTAAGATGACATTACTCTTTCGAATACCCTGTACTTTAAAGAGCAGAAAGCAAAAGCCACGGACTTGGCGCACTTTTACGCCATCGACTTGCCGCGAAGAATTTGCGGGGAATGTGGTGAGGGATTTGCTTTTTCTCAGTCTCCACTCGCTGTTTCCCCCCACTTTTCTTTACCTTTTTTTTTTTTGTTTTTATTTCTTTTGCTTTTGTTGTTGTCTGGCTTTTGTTTTTTTGGCCTGTAACGATTTTTGTAATTTTATTAATTTTTTGTTTTGCCCTCCCTGCCTTCCAAGTCAGCCAAATCTCAGTGTCTCTTTTTTTTATACATGTACGGTTTGGTTTTGTGGGCTGACTCTGCTTTCTTTCGATTGTCTTCCTGGGGTTTCCTCTCGCCCCTCGCGGCGTTCATAATTTTCGTTTGGCATCGAGGGGCTTGAATGGGGATGGAATGGGATGAAATGTTGGTCATGCTGCGGGCAAGATTTTCAAGTGACACGACCAGTTACCGCCACACACACACAAACAGTCCGGTCCGCTTTGTGCATTAATTTGCTGGTGTGAAGTGCTAATCAATATATGGAGGCAGAGGCAGCAGATTAAGGAAATGCAATTTCCACACCGAACGGGGGTGGAAAAAGTCACAAAGTCCCCCTAATTTATAAGTCAAACATGTCGGCGGAATTTGAGAGGAATGTTGCCGAGTCAAAGCCAGGGGATCAATGACATTTAAGATGGGGCGGGCCAAAGGATGGGCAAATGTTTGGAATTTTAAATTAAAGCTATTTGATGAAGCTAAGGATTTATGAATCCATTTATAAATAAACAATTAGGAAGCCACAGTTAATATAGTATTTAAAATGTTTTTAATTTGCTACAAATTAAAAAAAAAAAAAAAAAAAAATTCCACGAACTATTTCCAGTTTTCCATGGTATTTGTGTGCTCAATTTTACTCGAACTATTTTTTTCCTTTTAAAATTCAAATTATTGGAATGTGTTTCTTCATTTGCATCTATTAATTATTTCCGAATTTCGATTTTTGATTTTAAATTTAAATGTCAAGTAGATTTCGATTTATGGTGAACGTGCAGAAAACCGAGCGCACTGTTTTATAGTAGTTGGCGGGACTCACCTGGTGATCCATGGCGGTTGCGCGGTCCTTCGGTGCGCACGGCGAGCAGGGTTTCCAGGTTGCTGAGGGCTACGAGGGCCAGTAGCAGCAGCGCCAGGGTTGTCAACTGGCCGCGGTGCTGGCGGTAGTGCTGTGCTTCCTGTTGCTGGTGCTGCAGCCTCGGCTCGGCAGCTCTGCTGCTGTCCAGCTGCGGATGGCGGTGGTCGCCGATGGGCGAGGATGGCGCCGAAGCTGAGGCGGAGGCCTCTGTGACCTGCAGCGGATCGGCTGCCGGGTTGTCGCCCTCGGCGGGGTCAGGGGTCAGCAGGGTTGTCGCCGGCGGCGGTGGTCGCCAGCGGGAACGCATTCTGGCCTTGTTGGGCGGCTTGCGACCAAATCCGAATCCAATGCCCATGGGCGTCGGATTCATTTTTGGTTCGTTGGTCGCTTCGCTGGCTCCTTCGCTCCTTTGCTTCTTATCCGTGGGTTTAGGTTTGGATTCTTTTTTGGGGTTTCGGTGACCTTCTGGTGACCTCTTCTCTGCCCACCGGTCTTCTGTCTTCTGCCTTTGAGAATTCCCTCTCTTCTGGCTTGATTTCTCTATTCTTTTTCGAAATATTTTTGTTTGGTTTTTGTTTGGTGGGCTGCTGCTTTAATGAAATAAGCGGAAAATTAACGCGTTTAATATTTTTAATTTATTTGCTTTTGTGGGCGTTGCCGCGGGGGCACTTGAAAGAGCAATTAATTAAATTTAATTAAATTCCCCCCCGTTCGTCTTATTCCGTTTGCTCTTTTGCCTGCTGCTAAACTTTTTTGCTTATGAAAGATAATTGCTGGCTGTCTCGTTCTCGCACTCTCGCACTCTAGCCCCCTCTCGCTCTCGCTCGCTCGCTCGCGTTGGCCCTATCTTTTTAACACTTTTTACAATAATTGAAAAACTTTTTTCGGCTGCTTTATGTGAACTTTTGCCTTCGGCGTCTTTAAACTTTTCTCGTCTCTTCCCGCGATTTTCCTTTGCGTATTTATATTTTATTTTCGTTTTTTCCTCCTCTTTTTTTTACGTCGGTTGTTGTATTTCAGACACTTGAAAAATAAAAATTAATATGGTGCGAGGGAGATGGCGATGGCATCTTGTCGGTTGGTTGCTGTTGTTGTTGCCGTCTCTTTCGTTTGATAAGGAAATTGCATATCCCTTGGAGTTTTTCACTGCAATCCTGCAAGAAGAGGAGAAAAGTTAGCAAAATGTTTATCCAGAGTATTTTTCAATTATTAAGTGAAGTGCGATTAGTTTGTGGAAAGTTTTCAATCAAGAATTCGCTATATAACAATTGCCGTTGGCTTAATATTTGAATACTTTTAGGGGAACATCAATAACATGGGTATAAGTAATTTCTTAAAAAATATATTTCTTACTTTTTCGGCTCAACTATTATGCAACTCTTTTTAATACAACCCAAGGCACTCCAACTTAGAATCAAGTGGCATTACCGCATCGAAAGCGAAACGAGGAAGAAAATAGAACATTGAGCAGATTACATTAAATTAAAGCACAAATGAATTGCTCGACGAAGCGAAAGCGAAGAAAAAATAAGGCAAACTGGAAAAACGTGGATGTGAAATAAATAAAAAGTAAAGTATTAAAAAAATGAGCAACAATCAAATACAATAGCTGGCGTTGGAGATCATAATGTGGAGGGTTGGATTGTTGGGTTCGGGTTCGGGTTCGGGGAGTTGGGATCCACATACAAGTGGAAAATCACGCACATCGTCTCAGAAAAACCCCGAAAAGGGGGAGTGGGCGGAGGTGGGTGGCTCATGCGGTTAGGTCAGATTGAGGATTGAGGAGTAGTAGACCCGGCGATGCCAACGAGTCAACAAAAGAAATTGCTAATGTGCGCAAATAAAAATGGTTCAAAAAAAAAGTACACACACACACACTCAGCCAGCACTAGACAATTGAAATTGAAAATCAGTGAAACCTGTTTTCACACACAAAAGCTCACGCACGCCAAGCTTAGGCGCACAAAATTTAAGAAAAAAAAAAAGAAAATGAAAAAAAAAGAAAATGAAAAAGAAAGAAAAACGAAATGAGAAAATGGCAAATGGAAAACAAAAGACGACAGACGAAAAACCAATGCAAAAGCTGGGGTCAAAGATGAAATGCACTCGAAGCGCAGTAAAGAAAAGAAAGAAAGGAAAAACATTATATAAATTGTCAACCACTTGGGGGAATGTTAATAAGGCGGAAAAATAGGTAAAACGCTTGGGCATCTTAGATATTTGCCATTAAAATAATTGTATTAAATACCACTGCAAATATGTAATATTTTCAAGTAAATTAGCAAGGAAAAATATAAACGTAAACTATTATTCTTTAAATTTCAAACTCATTAAATTCAAAATTCCAAATAATTTAATTCTTGCCGAACTATTTTTCTTTAAAATCTATAAAATTAGAAGGCGAATAATGACTATTACTATTTAATTGTTAATTTATTTTTTCTTAAAAATCTATAAAATTAAAAGGCGAGCTATGAACATATAAAGTTTATATAATAAACTATTATTCTTCAAATTTGAGATAAGTTAAATTCAAAATTCCAAAGAATTTCTGAACGAATTTCTTTTCTTTTTACTTTTTCTTAATATTTTCTTTTATTTATTTTTATTTGTTTATCTAATAAAATTGAAGGCAAATCATGAACATTCCCATTTCCCAAATTTCCCTAGGCTCTGCTAAAAAATCATTTTGCCGCCTGCAAGTCGAGGGAAAATGCAGGAAATTTTCGCGCAGAGAAAATCCAACATTGCCCCATGGGCGGCGGGCTATCATCAACATCAGTATCAGTATTTAGCCCATGGCCCATCGTCATCTGCGACATTTCGCTGCGCAAATGAAAAGTTACGCGAATCAGCAGCCGCCGCAGCCGCAGGGATCGGTGTGTGATGATAGAAGGTGGCATATATTGATGGGGGGAGGGGATGGGGTGGCTTTTCTTTTTGGCCAGGCCGAGCACACCTGTCCGTTTTCATTACGCGGCAGCCAAGAAATTGCCAAAGCCATTTTCGAAAATGGCCGCAAAAAAATGAGACAAGTAGGGGAAATGGGTGGGTAGTACTAGAGGACAACGTCATAACTTGAAATTGAAATGGGAAGGGGGGAGGGAGGTTTGGCCTGCCTAACGATCCAATCACGCGACCATCTCTAAGCTCCCCCAGAAAATCATTTTGGATCTGGATTTATTGCACTCTCCCCGCTTTAGAGCACCAGAATCCCGCTAATGTTCGCGCTGAAAAGCTCTCAGGAAAAATAAAAAAAAAAAAAAAAAAGGAAAAGCTGGGGAAGGGGAGGAAAATGGAGGGTGGCAAGGTCTTCCTGCCAAAGACGGCACCGCAAAATGTTTTTGGCCAATTGGCCACACGCGGCTCGGGCATCAGGTGCGCATTATGTCGGAAAAATATGAAATATGATAACAGCGAAAAAACAAAATAAATATATAAATAAAAATTTACAACAATCGAAAGGAGAGGCCGCCGCCGCCGCCGCCGCCGACAAGCAGACAAGCCAATAATAAATAAAAGTAATGCCATAAAATATACTCCAAAGTAGGCAAAAGTTGCCAACAAGAGGAGCAGAAAAAAAAGGGAAGCTGGGAGTCCCAATTGAAATATTTAAATTTTGTTTCACATTAAGGAAAAGTATTTATGGGGGGTTGGCTGGCGAGGAAATAAAGCGGAAAATAAATGACAAATTGAAGACGAGTCAGGGGGAAAATGGGAAAAGCGTTTGGGGCGCGTCATGGGAAAATCTTTTGGGATGCTCAAAAAATAATCAGGACTTTATAAATATAAATATAAAAATAAGTAAATTGAGATAAAAATATACAAATATTTTATTAAACTTTATCTCTTCCACAAGATAAACAATTAAACTTGCAAAAATTGCACATGAATAAAACGCCGCAATACTCCCAATTTTTATTTTTTTTATTTAAAACTTTTGCCTTAATTCCATTGCGCTCAAAGGCAAAAGCTTTTCCCTCTTTTGTATGCCGCACATAAATTGAAATATTCAATTGGAAAAAAATCCGACCAATTTCCCATACCCGAATTTTTCGCCGGCTTTTTTTTCTTGCTTTTTCTTTGACCTTCTGCCATTGTCAACTAAATGTTGATGGAGGTTGGTACGTCACACAAAACTCCTCCTGACCCCTCGACCCCGCCGAGCTTTGATTTTCCCTCCACAACTAGTCAGCAATTTTCCACCGCCCCATTTTGCCAGCTCCCCATCTTCACTTTTTCCCGCTTCTCGTTCTCACCTTGATTCATCATTGTTTCGTGTGTTCTGGCTTTGATATGCTTTCATTGCGAGATTTGCGATTTGCGAATGTTGGAAAATAGGGGACTTTTCATGCAGAGAAAGGGGGGAGGGGCTTTTTGTGTTGAATTCTGCTTTTGACAAATCGGGGCTAAAAATTCAATGGCTTTCCAACGTTTTTGCATGCAGCGACAGGAGATAAAAAGGTGCCAGAGAAGGTGAAAGATGGCTGAGATATACGCAAGAAAATAGTCCAAGAAAATTGGGTGGTACTTATAAAAAAACAAATTTAAAAATAATTCTAAATAATAATTATTATTATAAGATTTTTTAGAATTTTTAAATATTTGTTATAGCAATTTAGAAGTTAATTTATTGGTTTTAAACCCATTTAAAGGATTTTATTCGAATATTATATAATTTTATTTGGAAAGCTAAGTAAAATACAAGTACATACATTACAAATTTAAGATATTATAAAAAGTTTGTAAAGTAAAGTTGAAAAATTTGAATAAAAGCCTATAATACTGCTTATAAATATAAAAGTCGTATGCAACTGCAAAATATTATTTCGACATTATTTTTCCCAGTGTATATGGGCCAGAGGAAAAGAAGAAAACAGGTAAAGTGACTTTGCGGCGCCGCATTCGGCTTGAATCAGCCCCTTTTTTTCGCCCCCCTTTGGAATCTTCTTGGCTTGTTCTTCTTTTAAGCTAGATTTTTTCCCTCTTTTTTTTGAACAAGCTCAAAGAAATTCTTCTTTCTTCAGCTCATTCGTTTTTCTTGATGTTGTGACGACTTTTGCTGTTTCATTCTTCGGCTTTTCCTCGTTCTTCTGTCTTCTGTTTTTGGCCTTATGTCTTATGTCTTATATCTTGTGTCTCTCTGGGTTTCTGTTATTTGGGTTAAATATCCGAGTGAAAACTGTGTTAATGGGTGAAGTTTATATATATCTGCATAGAGCCAAACATATGTGTGTAAGCGGTTCGCAATTTTCTAGCTGCGTTTGCATTCGGTCAAGAGGTTTTTCGCCAAGGCTGCAGAAAACAAGCGGAAATGGCAAAACTCAAAGAGGAAAAATCTGATATTACATGTAAAAAAAACAAAATCGTAAATAATTCGATAAATTTAAGTACAAAAACCCATTAAATAAAATACTTTACTAAGATAAAGAGCAGCGGAAAAAATCATTTGCCTGCAGTAAAGCATTTCGCTGATAGCATTAAGGTAATTCGCCATGAAAGGAAAACAGGGAGAGAACCCGGGTCCGAAATAAATCTAATTCCTTGGCTCCATTTACACACACACACAGTGCTGCATAAAAGTTATGCAACGGCAACATAAATCAATTGCCCTCGTCATTTTCATTTATTTATTACGATGTTTTTTCGTTGGCCATTGAAGAAGGGGATTTCGCCCAGTTTTAACCGCTACCCCCGCTTAACCCCTGTTAGCCCCAGTCCCCCCTTAACCCTTTTTTACACCGCATCGCATCGCCTCACCTGCGCGACGACAATGGTAAATATTTTTATTGTATTTCCTTGGTGTTTGTGCTGAGCTCTTTTTCCAGGCACCCCGATACCGAATCCCCGATTCCCCGATTCCGATCCGATCCCCTTGCCGCTGCTTTTCGGCTTCGATTTCAATTTTCGGGCCCAAGGGCAGATTGGGCAAAAGGGTGGCTGGTGAGGGGGGGAGTGACGAAGGGGGAAGCCAGCCAGAAATCCCTTTTGCCACTTTTGGACATTGCCATTTTTCGCTTGCCACACACAAGCAGTTATATATCCAACTGATATTTATATGGTTCTCTTTACACAGAAGGGCATGTTGGTTAATAGGTAGAAAAATAAAAAATAGTATTTATATTCTACTTATTCAACAATAAAAATATAATTT